GCAAACCGTCTTTTCAGTGTTTAAAACCATCTGCCATTCACTGCACCAGTCTGCTACCTTCTTTAGAGATCTGTTTAATATTGCTTTGTCATCTCGGCATGAGATATCGCAATAAATAATGCAGTCATCTGCAAATAACCTTATGTTTGGGTTAGTGCTATCAACTCTGTCATTTATGAACAGAAGAAATAAGAGTGGGGCTAGGGCAGAGCCCTGTGGAACTCCTGACTCCACTGCAACCGGTTTTGAAACCTGTCCTTCATAATAAACAAACTGAAAACAATTTTTTAGATACTCCTCTGTCCATTTTATTATCGGTCCCTCCCCCATAATGTGTTTGGCCATCCTTCACCTGTGCGACCAGGCTTGAGGCACCTAAGGCACAAAAGCATGATCGAAGGTAGGAGATAGCCACTGGATATCTTTTTTGGGTGGGTGGATGGACGGATGCTACTGGTTGTATTTTTTATAATGGGCGGTAGCTTGAGCCATTTAGCCTAGAAACCAAAATGAACCAAAAGTATGATTCCTCCCCTCGGTCCTTCTGAAGATGTTCTAGAAGCCCTCTCCGTACTTCACCTTAGACACGTGTACAGTCTGGACCTGGTCTTTGCAATCTTCTCACCGGCTCCTCTCATTTTCTGGGCAATGTGTCAAATGAGTGCTGTGCCCTGCTTCGAAGTCTTGGAGATTTGGGTGATTCATTCCGCCGGGGATCTTCTGGCATAGAAGGTGATACCTAAGGTCTTGTGCAACATAGTTTTTTCGATTTGTGTACCATCGAATAATAGATGTAGAGTCAAATTTCCTTTGTACGTGAAGGCCATATACTTTATTTTTTCTGGTCAAGGTTTAAGTCGAGCCTTCTTGAAGGATTGCTCTATGGTATCAAGGCCTCGGTTGCAGGGTTTTTGTTTCTGGGTACCTGCTTACGTCCAGATGGTAGTGTCATCTGCATATATCATAAATTTGACTTTTGGTATCTTGTCTAACTTCTTTGCTAGGAGGGCCATAATCAAAATGAAAAGAGCCGGGGAGAGAACAGCTCCCTGGGGGACTCCAATGTTGTTGTCTCTGACCGGGCCCTGGAAGTGTCCAGCCTTAATGGAGATGGCTCATATGGTGACAGGGGTGTTCCACGGTGGTTGTTTTCCCAAAGAGGGATCTGGCTCGTATACAGCATTTTTTGGAACATTTTCGGGTTGGGGAAAGAAGCTGCGGCCAAGATTTTCAATGATTTCACTTACGGCGTTGTCCAGAGCGATTGGACCATGTTTCCTAGTCCTTCCGCACTTGGTGATTCCTAACATGCCGTGAACGGTCCTTCACATCTTGTGGACCGATGTATGCTGGTTGAGAGAGATGCAGTGCTTGAGCTATTCATTGATCCTAAGATGACCCACATAGTTTGCTGCTTCCTGGGTAAGTTCGTTGACTTCCCAAAGGTCTTGTTGCTTTGAAGTCCTGTACTCTGTGAGCTTCTCTGTTCTTTTGTTCCAAAGAGACAGAAGGTGGGTGTCCGGCGTGGGACAGTCTTACTTTACCTCTTTCACGATGGCAGCCTCTTCCGTAGCACTCGCTATGAAGCTTAATAGCTGCTTTGCAGGGTTCTGGGAGGCCACCGCTGCCAACATCCACCATAATACCTTCCTGAAGCAGTCCTACTGGATTGTGGAGGCATTACCATCATAACCTTAAAATGCAGGCCATTGCACCCTTGTTGACTGGTGGCAGCTGTTAAAACCCATTTGCTCTACTGATGTCTATCTCCTGGTTAGCTCAGTTAGTGAAGCGCTCAGCTGGAAAAGGAGAGGTCCCTGGTTGATACCAGGACCAGACAGATTTCTTTAGTTACGCACCAGTCACCTCGCAGTGTTTGGAAATTTGTGTTTGTCCTTTGTCTCCCTTGTCCCCCTCGTTTGCATTATTTCATTATCATCATAGTCTCCTTGTTTGAGGGGGCTGGTGACGAAAGGCAATTTCGATGGGAAAATGGTCAGTGGGGTAGATGGACCAGTCTATGGGGAGCCTTAGGTTGACGAGGGTGAGATCACAGCTGGCTTTGGCTTGGTTTAGAGTCATCCCGTACCTTGTCTTGCATTTTGTGTCGTTCGCAAGGGCGAGGGTAGCTGTGTTGAGAGCTTCTAGAAGGTCTTCAGAAGGGCCAAGGGGAGGAATCAGACTTTTGGTCCTTTCTGGTTTCTAGGCTAGGTGGCTCAAGCTACTGCCCGTTATAAAAAATACACCTATTAGCCTCCATCCATCCACCGAACAAAGATATCCCGCGCTAACCTCCTACCTTCGATCATGCTTTCGTGCCTTGTGTGCTTCGAGTGTGGTCGCATAGGTGAAGAACGGCCAAAGGCAACCCCTGCTGCTGGGGGCCGGGCGTCCGAAAGAGACGTGCCTTCCCGTTCTCACCCGTTGAGTAATTAATATAATATTTATATTTTATTGGCAAAAATTAAGGTACTCTGAATGGCTTACAAGACATTGACTGCAGACATTTGCCAGCCACTTTCAGCATCTTTCCTGATTTTAACTTTTGCAACTTGATGCCTTGCCTGTGGTCTGAAATGAAGGCTGGAAACTTTGACTCTGTTGTTTGGAACTCGTGGCTGTATCATTGCACCTACGTTTCTGAAAACCAGCAGTGACAATATGTCAGCAAAATACTCAGAATCTGCATACTGCACATATAGCATTTTCTTTTCACTTTGTGCAAATATATGTGTGGCAGGCATTGCTTTCGCATCAGCTGCCATTGTGATGGCCTTGCTGCTGAGCATACACCTTCTGCAATATTTATTTCCCACCACCATGTTAATTTTCTCAGCAAGAACAAGTGTGGAGTAACCACCAGCATGATGCAGCGACGTAACGTGGAAGCCCTTAAGAAAAATTTATAGGGTTTTTTTTACTGCGAAATTAAGCTATGCACCGGCCAGCACTCAATCTCCTCCCGAATGCAGTGCAAGCGGTCCAAACCAGATTCCAAAGTTTCAGAGCCATTTGTTATCTACAGGGTGATTCAAATAGCGGGTAGGCTCTTTAAACAGGCTGCGAAAATCGGTTTCTTAACCTGTCGCGCTACGATTTTGTGCAGTGTTGCCTACAGGTGGTGCATGGAAAAGAGCCTGGCTGCTATTTGAGACACCCTGTAAATAAAAAGTTGCATGTGTTCTTTTGAAATTTTCAATGGAAAGTGACATAATACATGGAGCTGAGTGATGGCGATAACCGAGAATGGGTCCGGTTTTCTCGTCTATATTTTCAGAAAATCACCTTTGAATTTTTAATAAGGTAAGAGTTAGTTCTGAAACTCTGGCATCTGGTTTGAGCCGCTGGCGCTACTTGGGCAGACACTGAGTGCTCGGCAATGCATCATTTATTTCTGCGGTGAAAAAGAAAGCGTAAATTTTTTTGGGAGACATGCTGTTTGTTAATACGATTGTTAGCTGCAATGATCAGGTGTTGCGTGGTTTTCATTTCAGGTTTGTAAATATTGAGCACTCGGCAATGAAGCTTGGAGCATACATTTAATATTTACGAATGCACTGTAACATCTTTTCTCTTGCTGGCATGAGTCCTTGTGCAGTGATGCCGGTATATCTTCCAAAGTGTATATCACTCTATTTCAAACTATATATGATTGCTCATTATGTTAAGGGGAGATGTGTGTTGAAGAATGGCAATCTTTTACAAAATATTTAATTTGGGGTTTTATGGTGTTTAATTACCTTTCAATCATATTTTTATTTAAAAATAGTAAGGACCGGTTATGAAGTGAAATTTGTCAAATAAGCATCATAAAAACTGGCACCCCCAAAACTGCATATATTTGAGCCGTTTTTGTGTGTGCGGCTCTTCAAATGGTTGTCGTTGCCACCACATTGTCTCCGCTCCGTTGCTGTCTTCTCTGCAGCTTCAGTTTCTCCCAGAAAATATTAAAAATATTTCTTTCTTTGTGGAAGAGTTGCTATGCATCTATGGTAACATTCAAACACATTTTTGTCTATGTGATTTTGGGGCATCTTCACAAACGAGAATTTTTGTTTTTAATATTGTCCTATTCAACCAAATTTGGCTTGGATATGCTTTAGAATATTTGAATTACAACTATCTAGGTTTGATTACAATGTATATATTTTATATTTATAAAAACATTACGAAACTTTTGTTAGCCATTTGGAAGTGGTGTTTTCTATGTTTTCAAGTTATTTTAAAATAGAATAGGCCTAGCACACATTATGTTTGTTGTTCATTACACGCAGTGGTTTCAAAGGAGCAAATTGGCAGTTTTTTTTACTACACTCCTAAGTCTGTGCCATGCCTCACGTGTGTGCAAGGAAAGTTTTTTTCTGCATGTTCAGAGTATCCAAAACATAAAGAGCAAGCTATATCATAACTAACACAAGCTTAATAGAAAGAAGATCAAGCATTATAAACTGTGGAAGTTTCATTCAGTTATATTAAATAATAAAAAAATAGTTTTTCCTGGTGGATGTTTTGCGTTGGCAACACACTAAGCTTTTTGTGGGAAGAGGAACATGGCGGCTGTCCTGAATATGTGGATCCAAGGGTCCCATGATTCATAGAACTTGCAAAACAAATTTATCATTTATATGGGTACACCTAATGAGTTTCAGCCATATAGTTCTCTCAGATTTTGTATCGTGTGAGTCCTAACTCCTTTAACAGTTAGTATTTTTACCGTACTGGCGGTGCAAAATGGAACGGGTTGTTTGGAGATACCTTCAAACTTAAGTCAGGTGGCACAGGCTCTGACCCATTGCTAGGCACATAGGCATTTTATTTCATTCATTCATCATAGATATCTCGAAATCCAAATCCTTGGTGTGTCTTGCTTGTTATTCTCGTGGCTGTCTGACTAGTCTGGTGCGCTTGGAGGGTGTGCTCACTTCGTTCTTAATTACTGTCATTGCTCATTTCATTTGGTTCCTAGCATCTCAAGTGGCCCCGTCTGTCCCTCTTGGCTTTACGAGACTCCTTACAAACTTGACCGAAGGCAGCAATTCGAATGGAGCCGATTCAGTCCTCAAGTCGTGGTGAGTCTTTTTGTTTTTTTCCACCTCTTTAAACAGAGGACAGTGACGGTGTCTAGACTACAGACGGTCATACTCTGGAGCAACGCGTCTTGTGCACCTGTCCACAGACTCCTTGGAGTCTGCACCGATTCGGAGATCTTTGACCAGGGGAGGAAGCTAAGAGCTTAGATGAAAATGTGCAGGGTGATTGGTTTTTTTTTTCAATGGGGGGAGAGGCAAGCAGCAAAATTGAATTTGAGAAGAGGTTCATGGGAGCAATGAATTAATGTTGGGTAAGCTAACTGTTGGGCTCCTATACATGATGGGTATGTAGATAGAAGACGGGAAGCGGGCTGTTTACCAGGCTGGAAAAGAATGAAGAGGACAAACTCAGTTAAAGGCCGACCTGCAAACTATTTTCCAACCAGAATGAAAATCCTCCTCGCCACCCTTCCCATTTCTCCCTCCCGCTGCTGTCTTGACTGCGGGGGAATCTTTACTTGTTGCTGTGTCTTGGGGCTGGATAAGCCAGGAGCTTATTCCGGCTCATCCAGCCCCAACATGCAGCAACAAGGGGAGTCCCTTTGTGGTCAATTTAATAGTGAGAGAGGGGGAAATGGGAAAGGGCGGCAAGCAGGATTTTTGCCCTGGTTGAAAAATGTTTTGCAGGTCGGCCTTTAAGAGGGCAGTGAAGGAAGCTGAAAGAGATATGAGAGAGTTAAGATTGGAAAAGAAGTCTACTATGCAGAAAAATTTAGATTAAGAAAACAACTTTTTTGACAATTGAAAAATAAGTTTGCTGTCTGTGTGGCAAAGACGGGTACTCGGGGCTGGGACTTTTAGGTCAAGATCTGAGGAGGCAGATACAAATTCTGCACTATGGGGACAGGCGAAGGTAACAGCGGAGTGGATTAGAAATGGTTAGTCTGGTACATACCCAGACTGAGGCAGACTTTTTTATTACTTGGGGATGGAAGGGTTGATGAAGGTATTAGGTGGTTTCCAAAAGGTTAAGCAAACTAATTTTGCTGGAGAAATGGTGAAAATGTTTCAGGTAGGTAACAAAAAAAACAAAACAAGGACAAAATTTAGTTATAATTTAAGCAGAGTGGCTCAAGGGTTTGCTGTAATTGAAGTCCTCTGCCCTGATTTGTCCATCCACCCAGGATAAACAAAATTGTTAAGCCAAGCATCTTCAAATTTGAGACAATGCTGTCTTGCTGGTTTCGAATAGCCCGTCCCCCATTTCCAGCTGGTTTCCCCTGAAACAGAAGAAAACTGGGTAGCACTGTTCAAATGGTAATGGTGAGCGTTACCCAGGGGGAAACTGCACTCCTGGGCAATACTTTGAAAAAGGCAAGCGTGCCGCCTCTTCCAGGCATTATTGGCATTCATGGTCCTCAAAGTGGGGCAAGTGTGCTCTCTTATCATGAGTGCAGGGTTCGTCCTTGAGAACCCTTGAATTTGAAAACATCATTTTCCAGACCTTGAAAGCCCTGGAATATATAGTGGTGCTTGAAAGCCCGTGAATTTCCCAATAATAGCCAGTTTTTGTTTTTTCAATAATAAAATTGCTTTACAATACTAAAATATAATAACTCTTTTTATGTGTATGTTAGCATAAATTTCAACAAGGAAGTTTTTTACATGGCACATTTGGACACATTTAGCGGGTGCCTGTTAAGGGCCTCGGCACAATCGTAGCAGTCCCGGCGGTTCCAGATCCGGTCTCGTCTATCCGCCATTTTGTAATCTTGTCTGGCATTGTCTTGCCCCTCGTTTGCCTTGTTCTCTCGCGTACTGTTTACTAACTACTCCTGGTTTGTTTGTTCCGCGTCTGTTTTACGGCACACATGGTGAACATAGTTCAAATTGTGCGCAATACTGAAGAAATGCAACTTTTACCGGTCGTGGCTGGGTCACGACTACTGCAGACGCCGAGAAAGCTTAGGCAACAAATAGTATGACCTACATTTTTGCCGTTTTCCTTTAGCTGTTTGACTTGGCATTTTCAAGTCGAACAGTCCAAGGAGCACGGCGAAAACGAAGGTGCAAAAACTTCTAAACATTAACCAGAAAATCAAGGAAAACTTGCAGTAGCTATACTGAATCCTTTACGAGCACCTCTTCGGCAAATGCGCCTTCGAAAAACAAAATTCAGTTTTTCCTTTAATGTGAAACATACTTTGCATTGTTGCTCCGGATTTCGTGAAGCCATGGCCCACAATAGGAATATCATATTACATATCTATATAATTTCTTTTCGCAGTAGGGCATTATGTATTAGATTGTCTTAAAGAATTTAATTTATTATCTCTCTCTTTCTGCACATGTTGTGTATTTGCCTTCAGATCTGTCATATGATCACAGTCTTTTATGGCATGCTCTACAGCCAGGGTTTTGCACTGCCAAACAGCGAACGAAAAATCTTGTTTCTGCATACTCAAAGCTGACGTATTTTCGGGTATCATCCTCCCGCGCCGGTCTGAAGTTTTTATACGAACTTCATAAGTAAACTTATTGATGATAAAAAAAAATATATATTTAATTACTGACTGAAGATTCAACAGCATATATAAAGGGCCGATAAACCTTAAAGTTATACGTTCCAAGTAAATAAACACCCAAATTATCTTAAAGATGTTCCGCAAATCTTTCCGGCATTTTTATCCTGGGTAGGCACACGTATAAGCGATTTAGAAAAGCCTTAAACATATTTTTGATTTTGAAGCTGATTTAAACAACTATGTATTCCTGATTCTTAAATATAACGGCCGTTCGTCGACAGATAATTTGTAATAGGTCAACTCTTAGCAAGGAAATTCATCACAAAGGACAATTTGTCATAAGGCGATTCGTCACAGGGACAACTTGTCGAAGAACCAAGGGTAATGTTTGAAGATCTTGTTGCCCGCATACTAGCCTTTTTAGCGTTCAGTTGCTTTTGTTATTCAGCCTCTGTGTGGCGTCCTGTTTAGAAAGTTTAGTCTTCTGTTTTTTTTTTAAGTTAATAATCGTTTTACTTCACCATTGGAAGCATAAAATATAAAATTTTCTGGTCTCCTGTGTAATCCACCCCCACGTTTTCTTAGCAAATGCGTGACACAGACAGGAACTGCGCCGCGTGACCGAAATGTTTGCCATCCCTTTTTTTTCATTAGTGACAGAGGTGCCAAAATTTTGGTGGGCATGACATAATTATTCAGTATCTATTAGAAATTAGTAAGTCTAATTTCTTGTGTCAAGAAGAAAGTAACTAATTAAAAAAAAGGGAGTTGCTGGTAATTGTACGCACTTGGAAGAGCTACCAAATATACCAAGTAAGCGCCCACCCACTTTCACTGAAAACTCGGTTAATCTAGTCAAATCGGTGAAAACCAAGATGGCGGTCAATAAAGAGCTTTGAAGGTAGGGAAAGTGAAGGGAATCGGAGAAAGCACATTTATTTTTACATGATGAATGATGGGGCCCCCTTCATCATTTATCATGAAAAAATAAATTATGCAGATCCTATTCATGGTCACTGAACCCAGAAAACGACTCTTCTGAGTCAGTGCAGAATAGGAGGTCAATGCTCTCATCCCAAGTAGTTTTTCCCTTTAGATCAAAAGAAAGTGGATATCCCCGTCATCGCCGCTGCCGGTCTCGTGGCTGCTGCAACAGGGTGAATATTTTCGGCTGAGGTCGACACTTTGGAGAGAGTGGGCGCTGCATGTATGCTTTGCACATTTCTTAAGTTTGGGAAACGTTAATAGTGGGTGCTTCTGCGTTTTCTTATGGTATGCTCGATGAACATCAGAAATGATACAAATATTAGAAATATCTGTTAACAGTTTGACGATTTGTCATAGTGCGCTATGTGACGAATAGCCCTGCTACCAGTTGACGTGTGACAAATTGTCATTCGACTAACGGTCCTATAGCAGTTCCTGACACGTGTATAACTTCTGAAATATATAGAAGTATGCTATTGACTCTTTTATGTGATGAGCAGCAATTTGATGTATGTATGTGGGCTGGACAAAACAGCGCAGAGGGCCGCGTGGCGGAACTATGACAATGGACTTCTTCCAAAACCGACGCGCCCCATTGCGGCGAAATACCACGCAGTGCACTCTGGGAACTAGTTGGCCACTCAGTTTCGGTTTCGACTGAGCAGATTCATCTCATGCTATCACGCTGCGACCGAACGCGCTGCTTGCGTTTTCGGTTATCTGACTTTTTTTACGAATGTACAATACACTCATTCTCGAGCGATACAAAACGAAGGCCGGGGCACTTTCCTTGGTTCCCGAAGCAATGGATATTATGAGTGTGTGTGCAAACGTAGTAAGACGTGGCTTAGTCGCCTCATCTTTGAGTTCAATTTCAATAATCCCGTCTAGTACCACTGAACTACAAGTGAAATTCGGTCACCTTGAGCATTACACGTATTTTGTTTGCCAAACGTCCGCTTCTTGTTACTTCAGTGGGTGAAAAGCAAGCCGCATCTTCACAGGAGTATCAAAGTTGAGCCAAGCGTTGACGCATGAACTTTTAAGGAAACGCAATAAATTCGACCTCACTACTGCACCAAAGTTACTATGATGTCTTCCTCGTGTCATCATATATCTCCCACTCAAATTTTATGCTGGTAGAAGATTAAGTTTTCACAAACGCTGAGATCGGCTCTACGACGGAGGCCCCAACAAGCGTCCTTTACTCCTCGCTAAGCCTTTTTGGACGAGCTTTTACTGACGCCCAAGATCTGTGCGTGAACAGTGTGTCTGAAATTATCTCGGCATACTCAGGCGGGAAGAAAGCAAACACATAACAAATATTATGGCCATTAGCAACCGTCAAATGCACTTTGAATAATTTCGTTCGTTTGGCGCACCGCATAGGGGTTCATGCCCGTCCGGCGTACTTCTGGCGAATGGTGCAACATTTTTCACACAAGTGCTCGACTTTTGCTTTCTTAAAACGGTTTGTATGTGCGCATATGCCTATACGATTGGGCAGGATAACTTTACGCGCATGCG